GGACGGCTAGGGTTTCATCGCTTCAGCCCAAACATAAAATAAAAAACCGAATAAAATAAAATGAAACAATAAAACTTGGCTTTGGGCCACTTAAGTAATTGGGTTTTAATTTAAATTACAAGCCTAATAGTCAAACAAAACTTCAGCAAAACGCGTCCAACTTGGTGTCCGAAATCGACCAGCTTCTAGTCCGAATTGGGCTTAGAGCTCTGCATAAGAATTGTAGCTCTCTGTGTTATCTGAAAAACCCAACAAGAACGGAGTCAATCCGACAACTATAGACCGAGATATGGCCAAAATACAGAAGTAACGTAAAGTTGAAAAATTCTGACGAAAATAAATTAAACCCAATTAAAAACTAAAAACCTAAATTAACTCTAACAATCATTATTTTATTCAAATAAATCCTAAAAATACTAATCAAGAGTAACAAATAAGTGTAACAAAATATGTGTTATCAAATTCCCCCACACTTATCTTTTTGCACTCCTGGGCAAAAACTAAAATTGAAAGTAAATACTAAGATCAACCAATCCTTTCTAACAATTACCAAGCATATAGAAAATATACAAAGATCACAAGTCTTCTACAGATAAATCAATCAGGACAGAAATTCCCTAATCTCAAATCACAAGACCTGCTAACTTCAACTGCTAACTGCATAAAAATGGTTCCTCACAAGATGCTCTCAATTTTTCTCTCAAGTGTATCAGTTAATTCAGTATATCACTCAAATCAACTCAAGAAAATCATCCTACCATAGGCTTGCTCAAGTTCTACTTCTCCACTGCTCATAACACATGCATGCACAAATCAAGAGGGCTTTATGCAGGGTTGTAATGGGGCTGAGGTAAAGGTATGGATGAATATGGAAGAGAAAGCTAAACACCCTAGAATTTTACAAAGAGAAAAAGTTAAGAACTAAACTAAGAACATAAAACAAAGATACTGAAAAGATAAACACTTTTTTTTTTCTCTCTTTTTTTTTTGTTTTTTTGTTTTTTTGTTTTTTTTTTGTTTTTGTTTTGAAGAAGTAAAACCACATAGCAGAAATGAATCAGATAGTCACCCCCCACACTTAAACTTTTGTCCGTCTCGGGCAAACCCCCACACTTAAACACAACATCACAATGAAACCAATGCTCAGTAAAACTCCAGGGTGTGGAATTAATTGGTTTTTCACTTAGGCTTGTAATGCGGCTTAAGAAATAAAAGATATAAAGGCTCAAAGGGGCTCACCAAGGGATAATAATACAAGGGACAGCTATCTGGCTAAAGTGGGTACAGAAAAGAAAGAATGCCTCAATCATATTCATGCATGCAAGTGAAAAATGCAGTTTCAAAAAGAACAAGAGCAAGTTCTAGAGGACAACAATCAAGAGCAGAAACACACAAGAAAGAAAGCATGGCCAGAAGATATGCCATGTATGCGGGCTCAAAACCTCACAAGGGTAAACCAAGTCATGCAATCAACAACACAGAATCAATCAACAGGTAGTTGTAATCCAAGAATCGAGATCAAAGCCTAACAGATTATGCTATCAAACACTGCGATCTAAGTCTACTCCATGTACCACTCAATAATTACCAGAAAGAAAAGGAAAATCTACCTATGAAAAATCATAAACTAAAAGAAAGAAAGGAAAAGAAAAAGAAAAATGCAAATAACAGAAAGAAAAGAAAAAGTCAAAAACTAAAAGAAAGAAAGGAAAAGAAAAATAAAAATGCAAATAACAGAAAGAAAAGAAAAAGAGGGAAGAGAACTCCCTGAACTCCCTAAGGAGAATAAACAACATCAAGTAGCTTGATTTCTTCCTCACTGGTTTAACACTTTCTTCAAGTAGAATACAGTGCATGTACGTGGAAGGACTAATTTCTACATTATTTGCTAAAGTCCATCCAATTGCCTTCTTACTTTCTTTCAGCAATGTCAAAAGCTTTTCCTCTTGCTCAGGTAGAAGGTTCTTGGCCACTATCACATGTAACTGTTCATTTTCCTCCAGATATGAATACTTCAGATGGTCAGGCAGAATCTTTAACTCTAATTTCGGAGGCTGCTCAATGGATGGAAGAAGTCTAGCGGGTGCAAATTCTGCAGAAAACAAGTCAGCAGCTATGCCTGTAAACAAATTCTCAGAAACAGAATTAGGATCATCAAAAATATCAGCAGGCAATTCAGATAATGCAGATTCGCACTCAGAATCAGATTCATCAATAAGTGCATCGTTAAAACCAGAAAGATGTGATGTTATTTCAGCACACACAATGCACTCTTGACTATCACTACAATCACAGAAATCAGAACCATGAATAGATGAAAAATCAGCAAGGAATTCAGGAGAAAAATCCTCAACAACTTCATCTATCACATCAATGCAGAAAACCGGATGATCAGATGTATCAGTGCTCTGCTTCTTGGAGCTAGTGTCACTTCCCTTAGATGACTCAGCAGCAGTGTGGTTTGGCTCCTCCATATGCTTGCCAGACCGTAGAGTAATAGCACTCACATTTTCGCTTCCTTTTGGATTTGGAACTGTTTGGGATGGAAGGGAGCCGCCACTTGCTTGTTGATTTTGACTCATTGACGTTGCAAGCTGGTCAATCTGTGTTTGCAGATTCTGGAGGGAATACTCAGTAATCTGCTGGAACTGCAGATTGATAGTTGCCATCTGCTTCACTAAATCCTCCAAAGAAGGACCATCGCTACTGGCTTGCTGCTGCATTGGCTGTGGAGGTGCAAATTGTTGAAAATTTTGCCTCTATTGAGAAGGTGCAAACTGCTGCCTCTGTTGGAATGGTGCACTTTGCTGGTTTTGATTCCAATTGAGATTTGGATGATTTTTCCAGCCAGGATTATATGCATTAGAGAAAGGATTGTTTTGCTGCTGCTGCTGCATCTGCTGGTATTGTGGCTTTGCAGGAAAAACTGCAGCAACAGACTGATCAACTTGGAAACCACTGTCAGGGCCTGATTCGTGAGGCAAAGCCTCACGACTTTTGACAGGGATGATCGTCTCCTTCAGCTCACCAATTCTCAGAGCGATCAGAGCAAGTTGAACAAGTTCAGAAATACCCGATACATCCTGGAACCAATCGCTCAAACTGAAGTTTTACCGATTTCCCCAATTTTTTTTTTTTGATTTTTTAATTGATTTTTTTTTTTTGATTTTTTTTTTCAAAAACGAAAATTAAAGAAAAAGAAGATGAAGATGAAAAAGAAGATGATCAAGAATCAGAAAACGATTTAGACCGATGCAATTTCCCCGGCAACGGTGCCAAATTTGACACGAGCTGTCGAACTCGCGCAAATTAAAAATTAATTCTTTAGGGTTCCGAAAATTTGCAGTAAAGTGGAAACCCTAAGTCGTCTCTCAAGGAAATTGTTTTGGTTAAAATCGCTTATGGGAACAGAAAATTAAAAGAGGGTTTTGGATTTTGATTCAATAATTAAAAAGGCAGAATATAAATTTGTAATAAAAATTCGTAATTAAAAATAACCAACCTAAGGTTTGGGTTCCATGGACGTCTTTCCTCGGATAAGAAGATATCAGAATCGTGATTGATTTGTCAATCGAATCAGAATCCTTATTTCCAGTTGACAACCCTCTCTAAGCGATCGCTTAGCATTTGATCAAAGACGATGCTTCTACTCATACAATCGCAGAGTATCAGCCCGCTTGATTTAAGGTCATAGGGTCAATCAACCTAATCATCAAATCTGATGATTAATCCCTTTCCATAATCGCAATCGCAAACCTCAGATTGAATATCCACGATCGCACGATATCAATCTGAGTTGGGAAGGGAAACAAAACTGATTTGAAATAAACGCAGATCCTCAAGACCAATCCATGGAATCCATTACCCTTAGGTTGATTAAAAGGTTCTTAGCCTCGCATGGCTAAGGTAAACATAATTGAAATAAAAAGAAGAAGAAGAAGAAAAAAGATGAAGAACGCAATTGAATAAAAACTCAGAGAGAACTTCTCTGTTGTAAAAATTGACTACCAAGGGTTTCCTAGAGTCCCCTTTAAATAGCCGTCACGCAGGACGGCTAGGGTTTCATCACTTCAGCCCAAACATAAAATAAAAAACCGAATAAAATAAAATGAAACAATAAAACTTGGCTTTGAGCCACTTAAGTAATTGGGTTTTAATTTAAATTACAAGTCCAATAGTCAAACAAAACTTCAGCAAAACGCGTCCAACTTGGTGTCCGAAATCGACCAGCTTCTAGTCCGAATTGGGCTTAGAGCTCTACATAAGAATTGTAGCTCTCTGTGTTATCTGAAAAACCCAACAAGAACGGAGTCAATCCGACAAATATGGACCGAGATATGGCCAAAATACAGAAGTAACGTAAAGCTGAAAAATTCTGACGAAAATAAATTAAACCCAATTAAAAACTAAAAACCTAAATTAACTCTAACAATCATTATTTTATTCAAATAAATCCTAAAAATACTAATCAAGAGTAACAAATAAGTGTAACAAAATATGTGTTATCACGGGCATATCTGAAAAAAGGCGGTCATGAATGGATAATAGGCGTGTGGAACAACATCCATACATGTGTATCAATAACACTTTCACAGGATCACAAACAACTTAACTCTAGTTTCATTTGTGATTTGATCATCGGTAAGTCAACCATATGCTCTATGTTTAAATAAATATCGTATTTGTAACGCTAATACGCTGTTGTTTGTCAAACCACAGAAATGATACGTGAAAAGCCTAGCGTTAAAATTGGGTTAATACAGGAGAGGATTGCATCAAATCTAGGATTTCATATATCATACATAAAGGCCTGGAAAGCAAAGCAGAAGGCAATTGTGAGGGTCTTTGGGGATTGGGATGAGTCGTACGCGTTTCTGCCGAGATGGTTGGATTATATGTTATTGTTTTCTCCAGGGTCTGCCTATAAACTGGATGTGAATATGTTTAAATAAATATCGTATTTGTAACGCTAATACGCTGTTGTTTGTCAAACCACAGAAATGATACGTGAAAAGCCTAGCGTTAAAATTGGGTTAATACAGGAGAGGATTGCATCAAATCTAGGATTTCATATATCATACATAAAGGCCTGGAAAGCAAAGCAGAAGGCAATTGTGAGGGTCTTTGGGGATTGGGATGAGTCGTACGCGTTTCTGCCGAGATGGTTGGATTATATGTTATTGTTTTCTCCAGGGTCTGCCTATAAACTGGATGTGAATGAACATAGGATAGATGGTCGGCTCGATGGATCGCACAAGGTGTTCAAAAGGGTTTTTTGGACATTCAAACAGTGTTATGATGCCTTTAATTATTGCAAGCCTATGCTACAAATCGATGGGACACATTTGTATGGAAAATACCGCGGAACGCTAATGATTGCTACAGCTGTTGACGGTAACAATTATGTCCTTCCTGTTGCGTTTGCTGTTGTTAGTTGTGAGAATATTGACAATTGGTCCTGGTTTTTGGCCATGTTACGGATCCATGTTACTCAGAAAGATGGAATATGTCTTATTTTTGATTGACATGCAGGTATATTGGCGGCCGTCAATAATGTTGACTTAGGGTGGCAACCACCCAGAGGGTACCATGTTTTTTGCCTGAGACATCTGGCAAGCAATTTCAATCATAAGTTCAAAAATATCATGTTGAAGAAGGAGCTAAAGAAGTTAGGTATGGTTGTTACGCACCATGTTTTTTTGTTATTTGCAATCATCGTACAACGCTGATGTCATTACTGATTAACAATTATGTGTTGTCATGTACAGGTTACACTACATCGCGATTGGATTTTGACGATGGTTTGGAAAAATTTAAAGAATCAAGCCCACAAATTGCAGCATGGATTTATCGAATTCCGAAGGAAAAATGGAGTATATCATACGATGCTGAAGGAAGGCGATTTGGCCACATGACTACAAACTTGTCGGAGTGTGTTAACAAGGTTCTTAAAGGTGCCAGAAACTTACGAATCACGTCTTTGGTGCGCATCATGTACGCTAGGCTAAATGAATATTTTTTGGCCCACGGGTAGGAGGCCCGGGAAGAGATGGACAAAGGTAATCGTTTCGCCAAAGTGTTCTGGGTTGCATACGTTAAAAACCAACAAAATGTTGCAACACACTTTGTTACGTCGTATGACAGACAGAAAACACGATTTGAAGTTCAAGAGTCTTACAATCAAAGAACTCATAGAGGCGGAAAGAAATGGTGGGTTTCATTAGCTGATCGGGCCTGTTAGTGTGGTGAGTTTACTGCTTTTAGGTACCCATATAGTCATGTGATTGCTGCATGCAAATCAGTAAATCATGACCCCTTTAGTGCATTATATCAATGCCAGGTATATTTCGGGCAATGGTATCCAATTGGTAATGAAGACTTCATCCCACCCAGGCAAGGCCCAACGATCCTACTGGATGTGTCACTTAGACGTAAAAAAGGCAGGCCGCGAAGTACCCGCATCTGTAACGAAATGGATCAGCGCGAGGGTGTGAGCACGCAGGTAAGATGTGGTTATTGTAGGGTTGTTGGCCATGGCATACGTCGTTGTCCATCTCGTCTGCAAGGCACTTAAATTTGGTGTGAAACAAACTTGTTGAAACGTTGGTACCGCTCTCCTTCCTGTGTGTTGTCATGCGTTTTTTTGTTATGTTTTTAATTATCTTTGTGGTTTATTTTATTTTGTTGTGGTTAGTCGTGAAGCTTAGTGAATGTAATATGTTTATTAATATAATCATCGTGTGCCTAGCTGTTAATTGTTTTATTTTTCGGGTAGTGACCGTTGCATAGCACATAACACCGCATGAAGTATGAATAACATAACAGTCAGCACACAGTAATAAATGGAAATCCAAGTACTAAGTCCAACATACAACGAGTACCAAAACAAAGACTGTAAATACATATGAAGCAGTGACAAAACAAAAAAGTCCTATGATAAAACAACCAGTCATTGTTGTCTCCTTCGTCCATGATACTTGGCACAACGCGCCTGGTCATGCTCAAATGGTGACAAGAAACACCGCTCCCTGGCCCCTCTATCAGGGTTACGCCTGATGCCATCTCCACCGTCTCCTCCGGCTGCAACTGCAGCGGGCGCTACTGCGTCCGCATCAACATCGTCGAAAGTACCCGCAACATCCTCCTCTGTAAGTACACCTCTAGGACCAGATACGGGTGACTGAAGGAAGTCAGTCGCAAATGCCTCCGGTGTGGCCATGACGGCTAGGGAATCAAATGTCGGTATATAATCCTCTGTGAACTCTTCCAGACCCGGCGAAGGCTGCAAACTGGACTGGCCTGCAAACTGACTGTGCTCATGCGCATGAGGCTCAACCTGCGAATATGATGGTCGACTGGTCTGACCCGGGAACTGCTGACCTTGGAACGGCTGACTGAAATGTTGTTGATATGCAGGGTACGACTGCGACGGTGCTGAAAACCAAGGGTACCCGTACTGCGACAATGGGACACTAGGCTGGGACGGACCGGCTGTGGGAGGCCACCAGTACGGCTGCGAAGGACCGCCTGGGGGGTAAGCTGGTGCGTAAAACTGCCCGGCTGGACGGGGTGGAAGAGACTGCACAAGCACAGGCCTATCGGCCATAGCGGGAGACTGATGATGTAGTGGCAATCCCTCGTGGCGTGCACGCTGGCTAACACGCGGTCGACGAGGCGGCCCCACTGTCTGTACCACTGCCGGCGGAGGTGCAGGCTCTCCAGGCTCTGTCAGTCTGCCAAACTCGTCGAAAGCAGATTTCATCTGAACGGTCTCGTCGTATATCTGGCGGTATGTGAATGCTCCTTGCGCCTCGTTCGATGCCATATGCAGAATAGTCTCTATGCGATCACTCTGTGTAGTGAATATAATGTTAAATGTATGATGTCATTAACCCAAAAAAAATAGTAGTCATAATAGTAATGACACGGGCAACAAATTAACATACCACATGAGAACGAATGGCCGATCTCTGCATCATCCATCTACGCGTATGCTGAAAATACCACTGCATGTACGTGCTGTTGATAGACAGATGACCATCTCCCTGCACGGGCTGTAGACCCTGCACAACGAGGGCATCCCTGGAATGCCACTGCGCTATATAAAGTCCATGTCGCTCCTTCCAGTCTACGTCACCCTTACCAGTCAGGGTGATAGTTAACAGCTCTAAACTAATGAATGGATCGCTCGGTATCGATTGCCTAAAATGAAACTGCCTTAGCACTCTATCGGGCTGCTGGTAGACATCGATCTGGTAGTGTATGAGTGGGCATACAGCTAACCATCTGTGTGACTCCTCGGACGACGGCGAATGTGCAACGAATCTGTGGTATGGCCTCCACCATATCCTGCGGATAGGCATAACGTCAATGTGATGACGATATCGTCTAATGTGGGAGTACTGACGTCGTAGCGACAAATATTCATTAAACCCGCAAAACAATAACACAATAAAAGTTAGTAATATCAGTAACAGCCAGTAAATTTGAAGAAAACAAAAAAGTTCAAAAGGCAGATACCTTGCTCCGAAAATAGCATCCACGTTTGTGATCTTAGGGATTCCTGGTGAGATAGTAGGGAAACGCGTCCATGCCCACAACTGTAGTAACAGAGCACAGCCCCCCATATCCGATCGTCCTGGGTCAGTAACCTTGCACATCTCCCTGTACAAAGTAGCCAGGACAGCAGAACCCCAAGAATACGTCCCCGTCCTCTGAAAACCATCCAAAAATAGGAGATACCGTGCATGCATGAAGCTAGATGTTGTCTCAACGAACAGGCAACCACCGATAATGCGCAAAATCAATGCACGTGTGTATCTCATACGATCAACTTCATTGCCAGACCATTCATGCCAATGTAGATACCGTTCCCTCAGAAATGTCAGCGAAATTTGGTTCTTATATAAGTCGCGCTGCCGACCCGGCTCAACGCCCAATAAATCTCTCACCAGCTGGGAGAAGTTATGACCTCCAACGCGGCCAGATACAACCTCTCCATCTGTAGGCAATCCAACCAGATGGTGGACATCCTCCAAAGTAATCGTCACCTCACCCATCGACATATGGAATGTGCGCGTCTCAGGACGCCATCTCTCCACAAGGGCCGAAATGAGTGAGTGATCTATCTGACAATAAAAAATTATATTACATTTTATCACAATTTATTAACAATTCAACATGTATGTACTCTACGTATCACTAACCTCATGGTTGCGCAGACGCGCAACGTGATAAAACCCAGCCTGTTGTAGGTAAGGATGGATATCCTCGGGTATATTCAAATGATCCCATGAACCAGCGTGTCTGACGTTGAGGACACGATCATCTGGATTTGCGTTACCAGATCTGTTCCACACAAGCGTCGAAATATGTTTATCCTGCAACGTAAGGAGAGACGGCACCGATGGACCAGGGTCAATGAAGGTCTGGTGCGGGTCCTGTTGCTCCATTAATCTATTTACAAATAATAAAAACAAAAATTATTAATAAATAAATAAATTTTCAAGTTTAATTAATTATTCTATACTCTATATTTAATTAAATATTACATACTAGAATATAACAAAATAATGTTAATTCATTATTAGTAACAACAATTGAATAATAAAAATACAACAATTGAATTATAAAATACAATAATATATAATGGTATACAAAACTTAAATAATATATACAAATTAAAAATTAATTAGTAAGAAATAAATAAATCAATATTGTTATTTAATATAATATATTACACATAAATTATATTACATATAAATTATATTACATTTAAAAATGAAATAATTGCATACAAGGATATATATTATATTATACACAAATTATATAAATGCTAAAAATAAATACTAATTACTAATAAATAAATAAATAAATACAAACATTGTGGTAAAAGAACTTTGTCACATTTATTTGTCAATCCTATAACTAAATAATTTTATTTAATTCAAATATTTTAATTATTGCATAATCAAAATTTTATTAAATACAAAATCTAAGAAAATTAAAATAATTTGTTTCTAACCTAGATTCCAAGCCTATAAATAATATCAAACAATTAATATTATTAAATAATACATTAATGAAAAGTACTACACCTAATAACATTAACATTAACGTACATATTATATAAGTCAATGTTCAAAATTTTCTAACCTATTTTGCAATCCTACAAATAAATGATTTTTTTAATTCAATATTATTATTTATAGCATAATTAAAAAATTATTAAATACATAATTTAACAACATTAAAATATAAAAATTTAACCTAAATCCTATTAATAAATAATGCATATAAAATAATGTATTAAATAGATTAATTAAACTATAAAACATTTAACTACTAACATTAACATGCAATTACTAAACTATTAATATTAGACTAATTCAAATAATAAAATAAATAATATGTCATCTAACCTAATGTGTCATAACAGTAATCCTAAAAATTATCTTACCCTAAATCCTATAAATAAATAATGCATATAAAACAATTTATTGCATACATTAATTAAACTATATGTTATTTAACTACTAACATTAAAATGTAATTACAAACTACTAATATTAAACTAATAAAAAAATAATAAAACAATTAATATGTCATCTAACCTAATGTTTTATGTTACATATAACATAATTAACAACAACTAAATAACAATAAAATAAAAATTAATTAAATTATACATCACTAACCTCAAATGAAGACAAAGAAAGAGAGAGAAAGAAGAAAAATAAAAGAGAGAAAGAGAGAGAGAGAGAGAGAGAGAGAAAATGGGGGCGTATGGTGAGGGGGGAATGGGGGGAGGGGGGTCAGTTTATATAGGGGTGGAAAGTAGCCGTTGCACCAAGTTCGCTCCCCCCCAAGCGAACTCGGCGCATGTCAGCCACGTGGCATGCTAGCCGTTGCACACAGGTCGCCCACGTTGGCAGCAACCTCTTCTGCATGCAAGCCACGTGGCTAAGCAGGTAAGGCATTAATTGCAACAGAGGTCGCCTGTGTCAGACGCGAACTCTGACACCACCAAGAAGCTGACATTCGCTACTGCTCTGGGCAAACTTGCCCTCGTGGCAGTTTGGTAAAATTGTTTCTTGGCGTGGCATTTCAGTAAATTAGTCTTGGAACAGTGACACAATGGTCACTGTTCCACCAATATAAGAGAGGTTAGAGTAGGGGTGGCAATATTATCAACCCGGGCGGGGAGTTGACCCGCCATTAAATATGCGTTGAAAAAATGAA